CGGCCATGAGCCACTTGAAGCCATATTTTCACCAGATTCATGTTTAAGGGTTAAACGTTGGGTCCTACAGTTGCAGGCGTTCAGTTACGACGTGGTGTACCGTAAAGGTAAGTCGAACATAGCCGATTCTCTATCACGTCTCGCTCATACATCAGTGGAGGAACCATTTGATCCAGATTGTGATGTCTATATACGAAATGTGCTGGAAGCAGTAGACATTGGAGAGTTGGAAAAGGCGTCTTGCGAGGATTCTGAGCCACGTGAACTACGAGAGTATCTTGATCGAGGAGTATGGAACTATACTTCAAACACATTCAAACCTTACCATGTTTTCCGGAATGAGTTTGGTAATGTAGGAGATTTGGTGGTTCGAGGCTCCCGATTCATCGTACCAGCGAGTATGAGCCAGAGAATGCTACAACTTGCCCATGAGGGTCACCCTGGTCGAACCAAGATGCAACAACGGTTGTGTCTTTCGTATTGGTGGCCTGGAATGGATCAATCTATTGCTCGCTTAGTAGATGGTTGTGAAGGATGCCGGCTGATCAGTCAGCCGGATAGGCCTGAACCTATGGAAAGGCGTAGAATGCCGGAGGCTCCATGGATCGATATTGCCATAGATTTAGAATTTAGGTAGTCATCGACTATTATAGCCGGTATAAAAAAGTTGAGATACTTCAGAAAATGACTGCTAAACAGATGTCAAATAGACTTGAGAAGGTTTTCGTAAGGTCGGGTTTTCCTAGAACAATAACACTGGATAACGGTCGACAGTTTGTAAGCTTAGAATTTGAAAGTAACTGCCGGAATAGAGGAATTATTCTGAACAAAACCACGCCGTATTGGCCTCAAGAGAATGGACTCGTAGAGCGACTGAACCGCTCTTTGATGAAGCGTCTTAAGATCAGCCAGGCCCTAAATCGCGACTGGAAGCGTGATGTACTATTGGACTCTACATAGCACAACTGGGAAAACTCCAGCTGAACTGATGTTCGGAAGGAACAAACGTCCCAAATTGCCATCTTTGGGAGATTTGAGTACTGGAGCACCACTGACTGAACATGGAGACCACGATTTGCAGGAAAAGGAAAAAGGTAAAACTGCAGAGAATCTTCGTCGTAGAGCGAAACCATCGAATCTTGAAACAGGGGATGAGGTGTACATGAAGAACGTCCTTCAAGGGAACAAGTTTACGCCTACGTTTAATACAGAATAGCGAAACTGGGAGATCATATGACAGAAATTATAGCCATCTAAAAAAGTAGAAGGGTCTGTGCCTAGGGGCACGAACGGAAGCTTGACGTAGGACCGCTAGTGGACGGAATAAATATGAAGAGCATTTAGTTCTTTTAATTGATCAACTCTTTCCGTTTTTGAATTGTAGGCGTAACAAATTTGTAGTATTTTTTTTCAAAGAAAAAGTTGATTAAGAGAATCAATCAAAATCACTTGCACCCCTGCTTCCAAGTTTGGTTACCAGATAACAACTCTGGAGAGCATTTTGTGTGGTCGTTGGGGGCTTGTGGTTCTGAATATGGACAAATAAGCACAGATAAATTCTATTCCTACTCTTTACTGATGGAAGCTTGATGGCCCTGAAAAGGGCCGTTTTATTGAAGACGACATCCATGGCCACTTACGCTTGGCGTGTTTAGTGTAGGTGACAGCATCACGGACCTCATTTTCCAGGAACACCTTCAGCACACCTCGTAGATCAGACCGGAGATACGTTTGACACCACCACGGCGAGCCAGACGACCGATGGCGGTTATCTCGAAGAACTTTGCGATGACGCTTGGCGCCTCCTTTACCAGACCTTTTCCTCCTTTGCCACGACCAGTCAATTGTTGCTTGTTGGGTGTGAAGGAGTGGACTAGCCACCACCTTCCTACTGCTGCTATTGCTGTTCACCACGCCGTCCGAAGCGAAAATGAGCTAATGCCATACAGCAGCGCTCTTTTATATCTTTTCAGGTTAAAACTGAATGATGTGCAACCAAGTGGTATAACAGCTACAAAGACTCCTCCCATTATGAGTAGTTTGCTATCAAGTAGCGACACTGACTCTTTTCCTTTTGAGTACACGGCGAATGAGAACGACCCAAATTTGAGTTTAGTTCACTCATAATCACCAAAAGTGCAGGAACTCAGCGATGAGTAAATTTGTCTCATGGTTTCCTGTGGAAAACCTAAAAAATCTGCCAGAAAATGAGGAAATTGACTGAGTGAATCCAATCTTTACTTTTCTCAAATTCGGGAATTTTTCCATGGAAAATCCTGGAAAAACCTGGGAAAACATGAGGAAAATTTACTCATCGCTGAGTTCCTGCACTTTATTTCTTATTTCTGAGATAACTAAACTAACTTTGGGTAGATCTCATTCGCCTTCGATATCACCTTGAAAGATATCGGCGCCGGTGGTTAGCGTGATTACCTCTCACCCCAGCAGGCCTGATTCCAATCTCAGTCGGCGCCACCGGCATGTTCTAAGGCATAACATCTCTGATCACGCCTTCCTTCGGGAAGTAAAGACGTTGGTTCCCGGTTGAGTTGATGGGTCGATTGGTACGGTCCAGGTGTGGGAGCTGCCTCCCTGGCGTCGGTAGCATTGGAGCTCAGTACGGAAAACAAATCTCGCGTTACTTTTCAATAGGTCCTATCTACATTGATCGATTCTCTTCATCGACACTCTCTTTCGTAAATAACTCGGCTTCACAAATGTTTCCTGCCGTCTTCGTCGAATTAGATGCTAGATTGTTGCTTCTTCCAACGAGAATATCCGGCCGTGGCGATTCAAAGTTGATCAAGGTTGATCAAAATAATTTGTACCCCTGCTTCCAGTTTGATTACATGAGCACTTTGTGTGGTTGTTGGTTCTGAATATGGACAAACAGGCAGATGAATTCTATTCCTACTCTTTACTGTAATAAGCTTGGTGGCTCTGAAAAGAGCCGTTTTGTTGCCAAAGTTGGTGATGATTTAACCTCCAAAACCAAACAGAGTGCGTCTCTGTCACTTCAAAACGTAGATGACATCCATGGCCGCTTACGCTTGGCGTGTTTAGTGTAGGTGACAGCATCACGGATCTCATTTTTCAGGAACACCTTCAGCACACCTCTATCAGACCGGAGAAACGTCGAGCCAGACGACGGATGGTGGTTATCTCGAAGAATTTGCGTTTGGTTCTGAATATGGCGATGAGCGTGCAAAATATTACGCAATTCCATCCTCCCTATTTGCATGCGCCCGAGGATCGGAGGCGAATGCCACTTCGACTTGTTTCGTCTACTTACTACTCTCTTACGACTTGTTGGGGAAGCAGCATATGCATGTAGGTAATTGGTGGATTTGTTAGTTAATTCGATGCTTTTGGACAATGCTGCACATTTACCAGTTTTTCAATAGTTTCTTGTTGAAAATCAACATTCGGAAGCATTGTTATCGATGCGTCGCTATATTTCTGATCGATTGGTGATAAAATTATTGAAATTGGACCAGGGGCAGCTGAGTTATTAACGTTCAAAATCTTTCTTAATTTGTTACATGTTCTATTTTCGGTTTTCACAAAGTGTACCCCCATATAGAAATCAAAGACGTAGTCTTACGTCAATAGAAGCTTCTGGCAATGGTGACCAGGGCGATGATGTACCAACGGATGCAGAACGGATCAACGAGTAACCCCAGTGATTGCAGGTAATATGGTTGATCCAAATCCAGGTTTTGTGGGTCAACCATCCGAAGAGGCTAGCAGATCACATCGAGAAATCAGGAAGCCAAAGCGCTTTGATGATTGCATTTTTGATTATTGTTTGTTGTCTTTATTTAAAAAAGAGGAGATGTGATGATGTTGTCTGTAGAATGCGAGGGTTAATCTGTATGAGGTCTGTGGTAAAAGCAGAGTGAGAGAATATACACAAATGGCGAATGACCCGGACGTGTCTGTTTTATTTAAATCTGAAATACAACACGTCCTGTTTGGCAGCTCAAAAGAAAAATACAAACACAGATATATAAAACTCTCGCGCAATAGTTTTCTCCGACATTTGAGCGTGTTCAGGCAATAATCATTTCAATTACTAAAATAATCGGTATTAATCGGTATAAAATCTCACAAAGCGGTATTCTGTAAATCGAAGTAAAGCCGTTAGTCCCGAAACACGTGTTAATGGGTTTGATAGGTTCCAAGTGTGGAAGTTTCCTCTCTGGCACTCGATTGCCCTCGGCGATTTATTACCAATTGGCGACGGTCGCTGGAGATTGGCACTCTGAATTAATAACAATTTCGTCACTTGCTTGCACCCCATTCCTTCTTATCCCCAATTAGGAAGTTTTAATTTTGTGTAGTTTAAATTTTGTAAAATATGATTTAATTGAAACATTATTAATTTTTGAATTTTAAAATTCAGTTAATTTTGTACTCACATAAATTGATAATTGAAAATTGAAAATGAATTAACACTCCAAATCGAACACTCTTCCGCATCCACTGATCGTCCAAAAGTAAACACAGATAAGTAAGGTCAAGGAATATTCCCCAGTTGAACAAGGTCAGAATGATCTGAATTTGCTACTGTCAGTTGCTCCAATTCCTGGTACAAGAGCACAAACTGTTTGATTATAATTGTTTAACTTTCCGACCCAGCACGATCGCTATCAATTTCCATGCTAAACGAGTATTAATTGAATCAATTTCGTTCGAATGGATGCGGCTCAAATTGAATTCCAGTTTTCTGCTAATGGGAAATAAACAAGCTCAGTGATCTCACAGGTGATGACATCACCTGGCTTCACCGTGCGCCAAACCGTTGATGGACAGACCTTCATCGATTGGGGTCATGATTCGAAGAAGTGCAAATATACGTACTTAAAGCAATTATCGAGGTATTCCAGAAATATCTCGCTATCCGTCCAACGCTCCCACCCTCTCCAGTGGTGAAATATCATTCTCACGATTCATACGGTCATTATCGATCGTTTCTAATCCGAACGAAACCGGCTTACCTGTCAGCACAGCAGAAGCTATTAGCACGATCGCTCCCAGCCAGATCAACTTGAACGACGTCATGGTTAATAGGAAACTCACTGGAAGCCTCAATTCATCGATCTACCTATGTAAATCTCACTCTTCAACTCACACTTATGTCATCCACTATCTGAAACCAAGTGAAAGTAATTAGCGCCTCTTGTCACCGTCCACGTGATTACCAGGTAAAAACTCCGTCCCAAAAAACAACTTTACCAGTAATGACCTTCCCAGAATCCTTCAGCAGCTGGCTCGCACTATCAGCTGGGGTGTGAATTTGCAAACCGACAAAACAAAAATGAAACGGAACGAAATGGAATGGACTAGCCAAAACAAACTCCGTGTAAACAGCGAGACGGTCGTCGAAGAACTGAATACTGATGAGCAGTCGTTGAGCTGATCAACCGAGCGCGAATGGATAGACGGCGCCACGCTTAGTTGATAGGTGTGAAGTATGAGAAAGGATGAATCACAAAAACAAATGCGATCTCACTTATATAGACGAAGAATGGTCGAATAAAATTTGAAATTCATCGATCAACAGCTATAAAATCTACCTGTTCGAGCTAGTAAATCCATGAAGCAGTCATAGATAATTAGACATCTGTTGTCACCGATACGAAGCAATCGCTTGTACCCTAACGCCATCTGCAATCAACTTAGTTAATCGTGCTATTCGAGCAGTCCGCCTTCGAGCAGTTGTTTTCTGCTCATACACCACAGTGCAGTGCACTGCGCACACGTGAGCATGGGAGAGTGATATGTGACGTCAATTACCTCGTTGTCTCTCACTCTCTCGCGCATTTTTGTTCCCTCTCCCAGGGGGTGTATGTGAGAGTGTATTGGTGCAAACACGCTTGCCGCCCTCCTATGCTCTTGTTAACCACCCATCGCTGTATGTGTATGTAGTATAAAATCCACTTTGCGTGAGAGCATCGCTAAGGCAGTGACACCGCACTGACGATGTTGACAAACATTATGCTACGGAACGGGGCAATGTGTGTATTGCTTTCGAGTTCGAATCGACTGGAACGTCTATGTGGATGGGAGTCACGTTGGGCATTACTCGTTAACATGCTATCTGTAAAAACGTAGAACTGAAAAAAAAACAGATTTTTCTCATATAAACTTGATCTATTAATTTCAAACTAAAAAATAAACAATTTATGCAATAGCTGAAGCTTCGGTCGTAAAATATTCATGCTGTGCAATGCACATGTGTATGTGTTTAAGTGACAAATGCATACGTTTTCGATTTGTTTTTCTTTGCTGGGAAGCAGAGAATCTGTGGGCTGTTGAGAAATTCCTGCTGTGCTCATTTAAGAGAGAAAGTGAGAGATCATATGCACGGAGCACGCTCGGAGAACTCTCATTCGCTCTCATGTTTGTGCGTTTTGGACTTGTTGCCAAACAGAAGAAATGGTAACGAAATGTTTGAGTGGTCAGAAATCCATCCATGTAAATTTCACGAAGTGTGGACTAACGATTTTAAATTGACTCACTACTTGACTAGTCTATTGGTCCCAAGCAAATCGATTAACGTACCTCATTCTAGTCAATATTCTAGCACTACACAGAGTTTGTTTTGATTCGCTATGAAAGTTTGACAGATAAAATAAGGGGTTCGTGGATTTTCCAATGTTTCAAGGGATGCATCGGCCTCCCTTAGCTCAATCGGTAAAGGCGCAGCTACAAAGCAAGACCATGCTGGAGGTGGCTGGGTTCAATTCCCGGTCCGGTCTAGGAATTTTTCGGGTTGGAAAATTTCTCGACCTCCCTGGGCACAGAAGTATGATTGGACTTGCCACACAATCATATCAATGCAAAAATGGTAGCAGGCATCGAAAGCTCTCAATTAATAACTGTGGAAGTGCATCTAGAACATTAAGTCGAGAGCACGCAATAAGCTAATATGCCATAAGCAATAAGCTTGAAATGCGAAGAAGAAGAGAAGAAGATCGATTAGTTTGGGACCGAAGATATTACCAGAGCTGAGCCAAAAAGTTGAGCATGTTTCTTCGGGACCTTCTGGTCTTACCTCTATGGTATGATCGCGGTTTGAGTAAAAAGTACGATGCGTAAAGTGCAGTGCAGTAAATTAACTACCGTTAAGGCTTACAGGCATACCGCGCCAGTAGGTAACCAAATCGATCACTCAAGCAGAATATCGTAGCTAGAATCCGAAAGTTGTATGACAACCTGCTGACCAAGTCCGATGGGTGCATACTTATGGATGATTAAACCTATCGAAAGGCCGACTTCGGACAGCTTCCAGGATCAAAATTTTACAATACGAAGGCTCGAGATGGTGTCCATGACCGATTCAAATCTGTTTTTGTTGATAAATTTGCACGCAAATATATGATCTTGCAGCTGCGGCCAGAAGACAAAGGTTTTCGTAACTGATAAAATGATGAACTCGGAGGTTTACAAAACCGAATGGCTCCAGAAACGAATTCTGTCCATCATCTAGGTGATGGTCTGGTGACATTTTGGCCGGATTTTACGAGTTGTCACTAAGCTCCAGAAAACTATGCATCTAAGGCCTAATTCTACGCAGTTATATAAAATTACAAAATAATTATATATTGTAGATGAATTAAAAGCGAGTTGAAAATGATTATAGGTAATATTAAAAGTCACAGGATTCTGTAGAATGTTGGCAAAAAAGCGCGTAATTAGGTGCAGCGCAAAATTATAGCACTTTACGAGTACAACTATCAACAGTGCAACACAATACAATACGATTTCATACTTGCAGTATCTGTTATGTAGTGTCCAAGCTGAGCCAAGAAATTATTCTACTCGATGGTAGGGTAGAGAACTACTTCGGCCCAATCGCCCATTTTGGGCCTATCGAGCAGAAAACTTCAAATAAATCCATGATTTCAGAGTTAACAAGTCAATTATGCGTTTGGTACGATACTTTTGTTAATAATCTACGAAACGAAGTAAGTGAGAACGCGTGATACAAAGACATTATTCTTAAAAACAAAAGAAGCGCTCCGACCGAAGCCATTTTTATCTTCATCCGATAGGCCGAAGTGAATTCATTGGCGTTTCAATGCGTTAGGCCGAGTTTAGAATCCGTAGGCCGAGTTTGGCGTCAAGAAGCAGTGTTGGACTTTTGACAATATCTCAACGATTGATTTCTCTTTATCAAATCTTACGGTACGTACGGAAAGGTAAATAAATTTGAAACCCATCAGTAATAATAACATTCCGTTCGGTGCTAAACTGCGCTAGATTAAGAAATACTAAGTGCGAGTTGTGCTTAATAGGCCGGAAATGGGGTAGTTAACCCTACATGTACTGTTTCTAGCAGAACTATTAGCGCCTTCATGCTTCAACGATCATCTCTCTCAGAAAGGGTCAGCTCAATACGAAACTCGAATCTACTTGAAGCACTGTCTTTGCACACCAAAAACACTCTGATCAGCAAGCAGGGTTTTTTCAAACTTTAGATCCGTCTCATACTTCGGAGGCCGTTCCCGTGCAGCGGATTGTTTTTTTCGGGAACTATTCATTACTTTTTAATGTAGAATGCTTACGTTAAATCCAATTGAATTTTCAGTTGACCAATCTTAAAATATACAGCTTAGTGCTGTTAATCTCACCACCAAAATTCAAAATTCTCGCGTCACAGAGCCACACTCTGTGTCTTCACTGAAGGTGCACTTTAGAGCGCTCTCGAGTGCACATTCACAACGCCAAAAAAAGATGTCCTCAACTTCTACGAAGCTTCCTGAATTTATTCCAAATTCCTTATTTTTTCAATCTCTCTCTTTTCGAAGATCTCTGAACATCTTTGCACTTCAAATATTCCCAAATTTAAATAAAAGCCTCCATTTGCAAAATAGAAGCATTTTAAGATTGTACTCGTATACCTCACCGTGTAAAATTTTGAAACCATCATCACTTTCATAGTTCTTTTATTCTCCACGAGTGCCAACTTTGATTTGCCAATTGCTGTGCTGCTGTTACTGGCGCGGCGACGATGCTACTTCAATCGATGCGCATTCGACCGTTGGTGTTGAACAGCCAATGATTTCCACGTGGGTAGACGAACCACTAAGCCTCGCTCAGCGATGTAGATATGGATCGCTTTCCACCAAGCTGATGACACCGACCCGAAGTGCGTGAATTGCGGCGGAGCTCACCGTGCCACTACTCGGGACTGCCCCAAGCAAACGGAATTCATCACCATGAGGAAGAAGGTGGCTACTAACAACCAGCCAGGCCGGCATCGAAATAAACGTGCACCACCAGCCATCACGGACGAACAATACTTTGTCGTCTGGTTCCAAATCTTCCACCGCTACCTCTCAACGACAGTCAACGAGCCGCCCCCTCAGCTCAGCATCGCCTCACTGCTGCTGAACAGCTTCATGCTGCCTTGTCACTCGTCACCAAGTATGGACCGTATGAAGCTATAAAAATTGCAAATTAATCATATTGTCGAGCAGCTTTGGGAGGACCTTCTACCAGCGAGTTTACGAAAATGAAACAATAAATTCCACATTTTTCAAGCATATTACAAATAAGACCCTATTTTCTCGAAGTTGTAGAAGAAAAAATATCAAAATATTGTTCCACGTTAAAGTTCGAGTGGTAGGAAACGTTATTTTAAACTGCTCGAATGATGTGATCCATTGGAACGCTTGCTCTCTGACGAACAAGCATTGAGAGCTGCTCGATTTCCTCAACATCAAGGAGGTCGACATTGCTATCATCACCGAGACGCTCTTGAAGCCCGAACTGAACGTATTCCTTCCCGACTTCCGGCTCGTCAGACTTGATCGCACCTGCTAGGAGTGGCCATCGCTGCAAGACAGAACATCAGTTGCCGGCTGCTACCAAACTTCCAGCTGAAAACAATAATTGAAGCCATTGGAGTGGAGGTGAGCACATCACTTGGCCCAATCACCATCATCGCGGCCTACTGCCCCAAGCAAACCAACATCAGGGACGGGTCGTCAGTGGCCCTCCGGAAAGACATCAACAAACTCACCCGGAGGAGCGGGAACTTTATCATCGCTGGCGATCTGAACGCAAAACACCAAGCTTGGGGCAACGGTCGGAGCAATCGAAACGGTGCCCCGGGGATGCAGATGATGACGTTGGAAACGTAAACGTAGCCGTCGGCTGGTGAAAAGAACATTAAGCACAATGCACAGATTTTCTTTAACGAGCACATTACCTGGTCTAGCTTATTTTTCGCACACACAAAGTCTAGCCTAAGACGCACACTACGTTTAGATTTATAACTATAACTAAACAAACAACGAGAAGAAATTAGAATTGAAGTATAAAAGTACAACCACATTGCTTTGACTCACTTTACAAAACGAAACTATCACGCGAATAAAATG